AATTTCTTTACTTATCTTTCTTCCTTACAGATTTCCTTATTTTCCTTCTCTTTCTCTTACCCACTATCTGCTGTATTTATTCACTACTGGACTCCTTTTAAATTAGTCTTAATTTCAGAAATTAAAAAAGAATCTTTTTAATCTTTTACCTTTAACTAATTTGAGTCTATCTCCCAATTTTGAGTTTTTCTAATTCTGATGTATGTTGTTCTTTCACATCTTCTATAATTTTCTTAATGCCTTCAGCTTGCTTTACAAATGAAGGATTGTAATCCCATGTGTTTTGTGCATATATCTTTCTGTGTCTAGAGGGACATTATTCTGCTTTGTATTCTTTTATTTTAATGACTTTGTATGAGATTTGCCTTTGATCTTCTTCTGTTACTCATTTTCATCCAAAATTAGTATTCCTGCACTTGTAGAAAGAAAAGGCTAGATGTTCGAATTTTACATATGAAGCCCGCCCTCTTCTGTTGATTTTGAGAACTGTTAAACTATCTCAGCTTGTGATTTTCTCAATTTGTTCTCTTCCCTCATGTTGATCTGGAACTTCTCTCTTTGCTCCTAGTGTTCCTGTCTTGCTTCACCTATATTCTATGTCTAGTAGTTTCTTCTCGATGGGAGTCTGTCCTGGAAATGGGTTTTGAAGGATAATTGGGCCCGGTCTGTCCCAGCCTCTTTAGACCTTCATAGTGATGACAAGCCCTCCCTTGCTTCTGCCTTCTGGGACACTGTGGGTTCCTGGAACACAGGCCATCTGCCCTCCCCTTCTCTGTGTGCCCAGTTGCGGACACATGGGCTGGCCTCACAGAAAAGAACAGCTATCCTAGGTGGGAATGAATAGGTCAGCAGTAAACCCTGCACAATGCCCCCCAGGACCCATCTCCTGGAGGGGAATGCACTAGGCCTGAGGCCCTTCTTAGTAAATAATGAAAGCGACAGACCTTCAGATGTGTCCTTGGCCCTTCTGCTGAGCAGGTGTGCCCTACAGAGGTGAAAGGTGGTTTCATCTAGGTCTGCTGGGGCCCTGAGTCACCTGAAGGAGGGCAGGATGATGCTTGCTTGCCTCTCAGTCACTGCCTCCTTCCTTTCCTCTCCTTCTCCCTCCCTCTCACCTGCTATTCCTTCAGGTCCTTCTGGACTTGGCAGCTCCACTGGCCCCCAGGCATCTCCCCATCTATGGGGGGCGCCTAGAGACCTGCATCATTAGGCACTTTTCCATGGTCAGAGCCCAGGGCTCTGAGGTATGTGGGGGGCACGCCTTCATTCCCCAGGAACCAGGGGTCTTTGCCCCTCCCAGGTGTGGCTTGGCTCTTCCCCCCACATGTTCCCATTATTGCCCCTGCTGGAGTCCCCTTTCCCTCCCCCCCAGAGGCCACTTGAGCTACTCTACCTGGGCTTCTTGTACTCCAGGGGATTTGTTTGGTGCAGTTGGTTGGGAGGAGGGGCGGAGAGAAAGGCATACACATCTCTGGCTCCTCTCAGGGGCCCCTTTTTCACTTGACTAAGCTGCTCCTCCATGCACTTTCTCTTCCCTCCTAACACAGTTCCCCTCTGGGAAGATCAGAACCCGATCCTGGAACTGGAGTCCCCACCATGGGCAGTCTCCTTGTCAGTCAGACCTGGGAGTGCAGGAACACAGATGAATACATGTGTGCCCAGCCCAATGTCCCCAGGGAAAAGGTCTGCTAAGGTGATGGAGCAATAGGTCAGCCTGCCCTTCCTCTGGCGCCATCTCAACCCCAGGCAGCCCTCCAGACTCGGTGCCTTACAGCAATTCTGCATTTATCTCCTGGGTGTGATCCTCACTACTGATATGTGACCTTTCTGGCATCTTGATTGGGTATCTAGGTTTAACGAGGTATCCAGGCAGATCTTACATCATTTCTGCATTCAGCCTGTTCTGCTCTCAATCACGGCTACTCTTCCTAGTGGCTGCTGTCCCCTTGCACATGCAGCATTGCCTCAGGCAAGAGCCTCATGAAGAACCTCCTTAGAGACTTCCCTGATCCTGCCTAGCTCCTTCCTCCTTCCCTGCCCTGCACATTCCAGGGCCTTCTAAAACAGAAGATCCCAGCAATGGTGGGCTGCAATGTGGGCTACTGATTCCAATGGGGAAAGCAGCCATTTCAGCTCCTTGGTCCCACTTTATTTTTTTTAATTGAATGATTTCAGAGAGGAAAAGAGATAGAACACCAATGATGAGAGAGAATCATTGATCAGCTGCCTCCTGTATGCCCCACACTGGGGATCAAGCCCATAACCTGGGCATGCGCCCTGACCGGGAATTGAACTGTAACCTCCTGGTTAATAAGTCGGTGGTCAACCACTGAACCACACTGGTAGGGCCTTGGTTCCATTCTATAGTGTTAGGTGATGGGAGGACTAACCACTCTGTAAGGGATGGAAGTGAAGTCTAGCTCTCCTCTTTTGAGCCATAGCCACCCAGCATCTTCTCTTCCAGATTAGACATCCCATCCTCTCTTGGCTTTGCTTTGTGATTACGGTGGGTGCCCCTTTGCCATTCTGGTCACTCTTTTATAGGAAATATTTTTTTTGTCCTGATTTCTTTTAAAATGTACCTGAGGCAAGATGTGACACTCCAGGGCTGGTTCAACCATAGACAAGGAGAGTGGAACAATGCCCTTCCTCCTCGCCTATGGCCTGTGCTCCCAAGGGTACTAATGCCCAGGTGAGGGTTCAGGGGATTTTGGTTATTTGATATTCTCATGCTCATCACCTTACTAGGTCTCAGGGGCCCACTATTTGTGAGATCCACACACAGATTTGGATACCTGTGAATGCTGTCATGCCTTCTCTATGCAACCAGGTCTTCTCTCCTCAACCCAAATCCGACACCCATGAGCTCACAAATATGGGGAATCCTGAGGTTCTGGTGTCACAGATAAGCCATCAGTCCATGACACTGATGAATGTTTCTCACCAAGAAGATGAAATAGCGCATCTTAGTCATCTTAGACATTAGAGTGTCACCTGGAGCATAAGACTTGTGATCTCTTTTCTATGGCACTTGAAATTTATCCTCAGAGCAGAGTCCTAAGCCATATTATCTTTGTTCTACTGGCTTACAATGCTATGAATTAGTGAGTGAGTGAGAGAATGAATGAATGCATGAAGTAGGGAAGAAAAGATTAGAATGCAGAAATAGATATGGCTCTATGAGAAAGCTGAAGTTCAGTGATACATTTGACAGCAGAACTAAAGTGTGCTGTTCCAGTGTATAAGGTCAACATAGAACATAGAGGTGGTGTGTTTCCAAGTACTTCCTGTGATCATGAAGAGGTCATGTGGATTGGCCCGGGCAGAATGCCCCAGCAGTCTTGGTGTCTCTTAGGCAGTGTCCTAAAGGGTTCTGTTGGGCCTGAAGCTTCTGTAATCTGAAAGGCCTACTTGGAAAAATATAAAAATAAGCATGAAAGCAAATGTTTCTTTAGAATGAAAAGAAATTCATAATGAACTTTAAAAGATGATGGCTAAACCACCAAAGTACATACGTGTGTGTATTTTAGACAAACTATGTAGTTGTATAGCCTGAAATAGGATGAAGCAGAGGCTCTAGGTGAAAGATACAGTGATTTTATGGCGAATTTCACCCCCCAAAAATTCACCTGGTCATGGGAACACATAGCATGGGCCCGTGAATGACAGTTGACTTACCCTAAGAATAAAAATGCACTCAGACTCATGGTTAAACTTTTACTGTTTATTTTCATAACAAAATTTAAAAGTAAACTACATTGTCTAATATTTTTTTTCTAAAAGAAATATAACAAGTTAATATAACATTTAATGGGCTTCAGAATTGATCTTTTAATGCTTCCTTGTATCATGACAACAGCCACATTTAGGTAGAATCTTTTGTGAAACCCTTTCCCCAGTTTCCACATCTTGGTGCGCTTATTCCTTGAGCAGCCTGGACTGACTTAACCAGTCTGCATCTTACACTGTTGGAACCTGTCAGAGCTAGTCCATGAATAAATCAAAAGATAAAGCTTGCTTGCTTTAAGACAAATGACTGCTTTTTCAGGAGACAGTTACAGAACAAAGTGCTTGCTTTCCTCCAATTTCTGCTAACAAGATGAGCTCCTCATAGTCCTAGGTCCAGAGAAGCTGGATGATGTATATAATGACTCTAGTTGCCTTCCACGTGGGAAGAGACAGCTTATATAGAGAGGCTCAAGTAAGTCACTGTCAGTGAGAAAGGCAGCCAGACAGCCTGCCTGTTTCAGGAAAACATTCAGCCATTGAAAAGCTACTCCCATAAGTGAATATCATGGAAACGAAGAGTTAACAGTGTTGCACAGGTGGACCAAGTAGTGATCCACATGTGGGCTATACGCAGATGATCCATTCATTTGGTCTGGATTTCAGATTGCTTTTCCAAGAACAATATGACAGTAGTGACAATTTATAGAAAACAACTCTGTCATTGGTTTAAGCTCTCAGGGTTGTTCTCCCCAACCGTCAAACAAATAAACACAGCAGGGAAGACTCAGGAATTATCTTAGAAAGGAATTCAGTTGTTTATAGGAATGTATCACAAAAAGACTGAGCAGCTCATATGATGTTTCTGTAAAATACATCTCAGATTTGTAAAATTGATGGTTAAAACCTGCTGCTAGCGCTCTTCCATATAATGCAAGAGCATGTGTCATATATTAAAATATGAACTATATAAAGTAAAAACAATTTTATGAAAATGTCTGGAGTTACACATTTGAGTAAGCAGAGAGAAGTACAACAGTTGGCAATATTTTACCAAATTAATTTGTGAAGAGTTTAGGAATGAGAAACGGTCATGACTAGGCCAACTACAAATGCCAGAGATGGACTCAAAAAGAATTCAGCACCTTTCAGAATTTTCAGAATGACTTTTGCGCTACAGAGAATGGAGGGATCATAGGTTTTGTGCATCCAGTGTTCCTAACTAATGATACAAATGAGAGTCTCTCTGCGGAGGTACGGAAGCCAGGGGAGAGCTATCTAGCCCTGCCCCTGACTGACCGTCTCTTCTTTATTTTCTTCAAGATATTTTCATCAAAGAGATCTTTTTCCCGGTAACGCACGGGTGGCCCTCGACGGTACTTTTCTTCTGCCTCCTTGTAATCTATCCCATCAAGTGCAGCGATGGAACAGATGATGGCTTCTGGCAGAAGGACTTCCAGGACAAAACTCACTTTGTCGTCTCTGGTCAGAAGCAACTTCTTCTTGTCTATGTGCTTGTAGATCTCCATTAGATGATCCATCACGATATCCAACTGGTCTTCATCCTCCAGGTAGGTTTCCACGCAGATCACATACCTACTTGAATTGAGAAAGGACACCAGCCACCTGGACTGCTTCCTGCCTTTGACGATGTCCAGAAGGTGTTGGTCAGCCCCCTTCTTTTTCACGATGAAGTCCACGAGCCTCTGGTTGTCTCGGTCCCGAGCAGCCTTCATGCGGTCGGGGAGGATCTTCTTCTTGCCCTGGGAGCTCTCCTCCTCAGAATCTTCCAGGTCTGCGTAATTCACCTTGGGAAAGACAATGAACAGCTCCCCCTCTTGGACGGCTCTCCTCATGGGGTAGCTGATGTCCGCAGCATAGTAGTCCAGGAAAGAGCCTGAGAAAGATCCCTGAGCGAGCCTTTCCCTGTAGTGGGAAATCAGGGAGAAGCACCAGTCCACGCTCTGCTGGTACACCTTCCTGGCTCTCTTCAGCAGCTTCTCCTTCGCTTTGCATTCCAGGTGCTTCAGTCTCCGAAGAGGCACTCGAAGGCCACGCTGGTCACGGTGCAAGTCTGCCTCAAGCGGAAGCACCCTGGCCGTCCGCTCCGTGTGGTTCACACTCTTGACCACTGCTGGCCAAAACGGGAGATTTTGGAATTTAAACCAGACCATCATTCCTGTTTCAATGGGACACGGCTCCTGCGGGAAGGCCATGCTTGTGGGTTGTCCCGCTCCCTTGGCACCCTTCTTCTTCTTAACAGCGGTGGTTGGGTGAGAAGCCTTAGAGGCAGCTGAAGGCTGGCGTTTTTTCCGTTCTCTCAAAAACACGGGCCCCCAATGCCTCCTTACTTTGCAGGCCAAACGGGGTGAAGAACGCGGACTGAGGTTAAGATCACTGGAGGATGCTGCTGACCCTTGTGAGCCTGGCACCTGGACACCTTCTGCAGGATCCTGGATTTTTCCAGAGAAGGGAGGGCCCTCAGAGGAGACGGCCATGGTCTTCGGGCAGGTGCCACGTGGTGCCTTTTTTTTCTGGGCCTTGGACACGGTGACTCCGGAACCAGATGGCTGAGGTGGAAGGCTGCCTCCCTCTTTGGCACCTGCAGCCTCCTGCTTGGCTGAGAGAGTCCGGGAAGGAACTCTCGAGGTGCCTGTTTTTGCCAGGCCCTCTGCCTCACGCTCATCTTCTGAACGTGATGGGAGGTTGGAGCACATGCTGTGGCTCTTTGGGGGTCTTCTTCGCCTTCTCCTTGGAGAGGGAGCCAGGGAAGTGTGCACCTGGGATTTGTCACCTTCGGGGTCATCCTCACCCTGGGAACCTACCAACAATGACTTGGGTTTTTTACTTTTCCTGAGATTTCTCGGTGAGCTCCCTTTGGGCTTTGGAAACTTTTTATGAGATCGCTTCTGGGGTCCCTTTTGAGACACTGTAGTGGTCTCTGGATCATCGAATGCCCTGGCTGCACCCAGGTCTGCTCTCTCTCGCAGAATATCCAGGGCCAGAGTGAGAGCGCTTTTGTAGGCCTCTCCCTCCCCTGGTGGGACTCTGGCTGTGGACTGGGCCCCTAGCGAGGAGGTAATAGATTCGATTTGAGACTCATCAAGGATCTTTATGTCTTTGTTTTTCACTTTCATCTTTTTACCCACTGAGAGTATTTGAACTTCGAGAGAACATACCTTTTCCCCCTTATTTTTCGGTGGCGTTTCAGATCTGGACAAAACCCTTGCTGGCCAAAAGCGGCCTTTCCAACTGCATAAGATGTACTCAGAGTCCATTATGATGGGACGTGGGTGCTGAGAGGTAACAAACAGAGGTAGAGGGGCCCGGCTGTATATGCACAGCTACAGCAGGTGTCCCCTAAGACAGTGTTCTTCACCACAGCTTTCTGCCTAGGACGACAGAGGGTTTACCGCTTGTGTGGCCTGTGTTCCACCTGACTCTGCCAGGAATGCTGGAACTGTGTTTTGACAGACCACACTGGAGAATACTGGAATATGGAAAAGGAAAAGAAGAGGAGTATCAGAAAGCTCTTTTCTGGAGGTAGAAGTTGGTCATTGAGAATTAATCCTCTATAATAAAACCCTAATATGTAAGCCGACTGAATGGAGGAATGACAGGTCACTATGACCGCACTGAAGACCAGGGGGCAGACGCTCAACACAGGAGCTGCCCCCGGTGGTCCGTGTACTCCCACAGGGGGAGCGCCGTTCAGCCAGGATCCGGGCTCAAGACTGGTGAGTGCAGTGATGGTGGCGGGAGCCTCTCCTGCCTCCACTGCAGGTAGGCAGTAAGGAGGGAGGAATCCCAGACTGGGAGAGCCCCAGGGGGATTGGGCTTAAATCGTCAGATGTACATCTCCTGAGGGGTACCGGACTGTAAGAGGGCACAGGCCAGGTGGAGGGACCCCCCTCCCCTGGTGCACAAATATTGTGCACCAGGTCTCTAGTAAGAGATAAATATAAAAAGATGTAACAAACTGGACTTTCGGGGGAGGGGGAGAGAGTGAGAGAGTGAGACAGCATACAAGCCCACTATCTCAGGGAAAATATACAGAAGATACCAGGAGAGTTTATAGCCTTCTGAACCCAACTCTGTGCCCTCTTTGTTGCTATTGCATATTAAAGGGCATGTGTGTGGGGAGGTGGGTGTCATGTCCTGGATTGAATTTGTGTTATAGGACATCCTGGGCCTTTTGTGCTCCTTGGGGCTCATGTTAGGGGAATGCTTCAGTGTTTCTTTTCTGGTGTGCTAGTGCCCCCATGTGCACCCACGGGAGTTAGATAGGATCTCTGACCCACAGACAGTGGATGTCAGCACAAGATCACGTTCAAGAGTATGAGCTTAGAATCCAGAGGTTCATGAAGTTCATATGATGGTTAGAGGTGTTCCCCTTCATAAGGACTGCTGCAGTCCCAAGCCATTGGCTGGGACCTGCACCTCTTCATTTCTCTATGGTGCTGCAAATAGCTCCCCAACCCCACCACCCCAGCACAAAATCAGTGTGAAGTAGTGACTTTAGAGGGAGGAGCAACATAAACCACACCTCTAATGTCAACATGAAATCAATGATCACAATGAATCCTGTAGTAAAATGAGAAAGGCTTACCAATCTCCATGGTGGGTGTGGTTCTGTGAGCAGGAGCTGTTGTTCTGCAAACTCCAACTGCTGGGCTTCTGAAGGGCACTGCCCTTCCAGGGATCCAATGGCACCAAATGCCGACACTCAGGACCAGCACGCCTCTATGTCAACCTAGAAAATGCAAGAGAGATAGGGAGTTAAGCCAAAGGAATGGGGATTGACTCATCACATTCCCTTCTCCAACTCTGGAATGCATGCTATTCTTAAAGATAAATGTTAGTTACATCTCACGTATAATATAGATGTCATTTTTCTTTTCTTTCTTTCCACTTTAAAATATTTACACCTTATGCTACTTAGTTTATGGTAATCTCTCCTTTTTCACAATAGAGCGAATTACTACTTTCATAATATTGTTCAACTGTCTTGGACACTGGGATTCTTTCAAAGTAGTAGCATGAGTGTGAGTGTGAGATACAAAATGGCTCCTGTAATGTTAGTGTATGTATTGTTTTGCGCATCTAAAGAAACATTAAATGGGCTTTTGGAGAATATAAAATGTGTGAGTGATAAATGCAGAAGACAACATATTATAAATATATGTATATTTGATTCTTCACCAAGGATATGTTTTATTGATTTTTAGAGAGAGAGAGAGGGAGGGAGGGAGAGAGAGAGAAACATGGTGTGAGAGAGAAATACCTGGCTCATAGGTTCTACTTTTCTGTATACATGGTACAGATGTGCATTATAATTCACTTATACATTTCAGCTCATCCATTATCAGCCTCAACTAATGGGCTTCATAAGAGGAAATGCTGTTTCTGCCATACGTGCTGCATGTTCAGCTTTGGTCACACACAGGCACAGAAAGAACACGAACTGCACCAGTACTATATGTACATAACATGGAGATAACCTGTGCCTCCTTTGTCTTGGATCAGGGTGAGCAATCCTGCAGGCGTCAGGCTCCTTTCTCAGAGGATTTGGTGAACCTGCTCTCAGAGCATATGTGTCACATGGAGACTGAACAGAACAGGGAAGGAAAACAGGTGACTCAGTCACTGCAGTGTCCCTGCAGTAAGACTTGCCAGCCTGTCACAGAACAGAGGGTGCCTGCGTCACCTCACTCCCACCACAGAGCAACCGACATCCCAAAACGCATGTACACACACACACACACACACACACTCTCAGAGTATCTATAGAGACACATGCCTGATACTGACGCATGTAATCCATGCTCTCTGCCTCCACACATGCATATGCAAATGGTTCTGCTTGTACTTCTGGATGCTATTTTCATCTCCTCTTAGTTCATTATTTTAAAACACCGTGAAAATCCTAAAATGATGTTTATTTTTCACTGTTGACACTGTCATAGATTTTCCCCTATGAAAAATATGAAGCATCAGTATTCAAATACCTAGGAATGCTTACTGTAAATATATACTGTACAGACTGTGGAATTTATATTCTGTTTATACACATATTCTATAACATATAAAACAGCTTTTATTCTATAACACATTGATATCAGGGAGACCGGTCTCAGGAGGTAAGGCGCCCAGGTTGAGATCTCAAAAGGGTAAGAGTCCTTGGAGGGCTGGACGCGGCTTAACCTCCAGGCTCTGGCCGGAGGACACTATGGTGTGTGTTCTCTGCCCCAGGTGTCTGGACTGGTTGTCTTATGTTTTGTCATGTTTGTGTCAGGCCTATTTGTTTTGTGTTTTGTGTTTTGGTCTCCGTCAAAATGGGTCAAGGTCTGTCAGTGTCTCTGTGTTCCCCTTTACAGTGTTTTTTGAAAAATTTCCAGGACTTCAAGAACTGGGTGGATGACTACGGCTCTGATGTTAATGCTTTTGATTTAACCACTCTTTTTCCCAGGTCAACGCCGGTCTGTAGGATAACTTTTCCCTCACAGTTCCTAGAGTATTAAGTCTTATTTTCTTTGTCCAACATGAGTGCCATTTCTGTTTTGCTGAAATATTGTAATAGTACTTGTTTACTGAAAGGGTATAAGTACAGACATTTGTTTGATATTTTGTTTGTCTGCTTGGGTATAATTATTTGTTCATATAAGTATGAAAATCTGTGAAAAAGAAAAAAAAAGAGAAAGAAAGAAACCTTTACTTTGTTTAAAGCTGAGTGCTCTGACGGCTAGCAAACCGCCCTGAATGGCCACTGGGATTCCTTTTTCCCAGGGGTGCTTTGCTTTCTGTCAGAGGAGAATTGGCCCACCTAACAGGATTTATATGTTTATTAATTTGAAGGTATGAAGTTGTAACAATTGTGGTACAAAAAATGTTAAAAGCAGAGACCAAATTCTAAAGTTAACTATTTGCAAGAAGGAAGCTTGAGCTGGCGAAGTCGCCAAATCTGCCCAGCAAGCTCAAAAAAACTAAATGAATCTTATTTCTGCCGCCACCCAGTCTTGATCAGTGGTGGAGGAACTGTTTGTTTCAATTGATCAATTTAAGTTTGATGTGATTAATGATTACAATACATTGTAAAATCTTTAGAAAAAAGGAAAATATTTTGAAGGAAACTTGGTCCTTGTGTGTATGTATCAACTCTGAAGTTATAGTTTTAAAATCAGTAATATTAATGGAAACACATGCAGAGGAGCTTTTCAAAAAAGTTCAGGGAGTCTGATTACAGTGTAGGGGTCACTGGTTCCCCCAGGGCACCTTCGCTAGCAAGAGGCAAGTGGCGAACCGCCAGATGAAAACGCCCTGGTGGGAGCACTTCCTTCACCATCTGGGACCCTTGTGCACCCTGCTTCCACCCATCCGGTGTCTATTCCCTCCAGGGGTTGTTTAGAGTAGCTGGAGGCGGCAGTGGGCAGTGGCGTGGAGAGAAATTCCTTTGTGACCCCCTGAACCCCAATGAGACCCCAAATCCCCCCCCCCATGACTCCTTGGACACTTTTCACCGTGTTGTGTTAGGGGGCTTAAAGGCACAGTTAGAAATTCTCCCATTCCCCTTTTTCAGGCTTATCAGAATCTGAGATCCTCATCTGTAGGAAAAATGTGGCAGTTTAAATTTCAAGCGGCTAGAGGCCTGGGAACAGAGTGCTGAGCTGCTCCCTCCTCCCTCTGTCTTTTCTAAATATTTTAAAATAATGAGAGATTTGAGGCATGGTTATGCATTTTTGAAGAACATAGAAGGTTTAAAGGCTAATATAAAATAGTGAAAGTTTTTATGAAGATTATACATGTGATGAGAAGGAGAAACAGCGAGAGAAGGAAACAACAGAAGTAGAGGTCTAGAGAGAAAGAGAGGGAGAGAGGGAAAGAATGAGACAGAGACTTAAGAAAGAGACTCTGGGAGTCTGAGAGGAAAGAATTTAGACAGAAACAAAAACAAAGATTGGGAGAGAAAGTGATATGAGTGTATAAGTATGAGTGTGTATGTGAGAAAGGGAGGGAGAGAGAGACATGAGCAAGAGACGGGAAGGGACAGAGATTAGAGAGGGAGAGAGAAGGTGAGGTCGGAAGAGACAGAGACGGTCTGAAAGAAAGGGAGACTTAGACTCCAAGGGTTTTTTTAACTTAGAGGAAGAAGACTGACAGGACCGGGGCTCCTTTCCATTAAGCCCCAAGGGTAACCTTACAAGTGGAGGGCAAACCTGTTATACTGGGGCAGTCTATTCAGTCTTCACAGAGCCGATGGGACCCATACATCAGTCCAGGG